CACCACCACCACCAGGTCTGAGTCAACACACACACACCACCACCACCACCACCACCAGGTCTGAGTCAACACACACACCACCACCACCACCAGGTCTGAGTCAACACACACACACCACCACCACCACCACCACCAGGTCTGAGTCAACACACACCACCACCACCACCACCACCACCAGGTCTGAGTCAACACACACACACCACCACCACCACCACCACCACCAGGTCTGAGTCAACACACACACCACCACCACCACCACCAGGTCTGAGTCAACACACACCACCACCACCACCACCACCACCACCACCAGGTCTGAGTCAACACACACACCACCACCACCACCACCACCAGGTCTGAGTCAACACACACCACCACCACCACCACCACCACCACCACCACCAGGTCTGAGTCAACACACACACACCCACCACCACCACCACCACCACCACCACCACCACCACCACCACCAGGTCTGAGTCAACACACACACACCACCACCACCACCACCACCACCACCACCACCAGGTCTGAGTCAACACACACACCACCACCACCACCACCACCACCACCACCACCAGGTCTGAGTCAACACTCACACCACCACCACCACCACCACCACCAGGTCTGAGTCAACACGCACACACCACAAGGTCATAGAAAATGGAATCGTTTGACAACCGCTGTGATTTATAGTACATCATATATTGCCCGTTGGGGGAAATAATTTTGACGTCAAATTTCAGTGTATTGAAGTAGGTTTTAACCTTACTGGCTCCGTTTTCTCCAGTTTTCTAAAGGCACATTTTCAAGGTCCTTACCCAAAGGTCATCCCTACTGCTGCCAAGAATTGGATCGCTTGTTAGGCGTTTAAAGCCTATCACTGCAATCGCCAAAATTAATAGTTCTATCACTTTCAATGCTTCTATTACTGCCATTGGCAAGAGTTCTATTACTGTCCGAGTAAACAGCTCTATTACTGTCCGAGTAAACAGCTCTATTACTGTCCGAGTAAACAGCTCTATTACTGGCCGAGTAAACAGCTCTATTACTGTCCGAGTAAACAGCTCTATTACTGTCCGAGTAAACAGCTCTATTACTGTCCGAGTAAACAGCTCTATTACTGGCCGAGTAAACAGCTCTATTACTGTCCGAGTAAACAGCTCTATTACTGGCCGAGTAAACAGCTCTATTACTGTCCGAGTCAACAGCTCTATTACTGGCCGAGTAAACAGCTCTATTACTGTCCGAGGAAACAGCTCTATTACTGGCCGAGTAAACAGCTCTATTACTGGCCGAGTAAACAGCTCTATTACTGTCCGAGTAAACAGCTCTATTACTGGCCGAGTAAACAGCTCTATTACTGGCCGAGTAAACAGCTCTATTACTGTCCGAGTAAACACCTCTATTACTGTCCGAGTAAACAGCTCTATTACTGACCGAGTAAACAGCTCTATTACTGTCCGAGTAAACACCTCTATTACTGGCCGAGTCAATAATTCTATTACTGACAAAATAGTTTTACCATTGTCAATATTATATGTAAATTAACTCATTGTCAACAGGTTTATGACCAATTCCAATAGTACTATCCCTCAGGTGCCACTGAGTATCAATAGTACTATCCCTCAGGTGCCAATGAGTACCAATAGTACTATCCCTCAGGTGCCAATGAGTACCAATAGTACTATCACTCAGGTGCCAATGAGTACCAATAGTACTATTCCTCAGGTGCCAATGAGTACCAATAGTACTCTCACTCAGGTGCCAATCAGTACCAATAGTACTATCACTCAGGTGCCAATGAGTACCAATAGTATTATCCCTCAGGTGCCAATGAGTACCAATAGTACTATCACTCAGGTGCCAATGAGTACCAATAGTACTATCACTCAGGTGCCAATGAGTACCAATAGTACTATCACTCAGGTGCCAATGAGTACCAATAGTACTATTCCTCAGGTGCCAATGAGTACCAATAGTACTCTCACTCAGGTGCCAATCAGTACCAATAGTACTATCACTCAGGTGCCAATGAGTACCAATAGTATTATCCCTCAGGTGCCAATGAGTACCAATAGTACTATCACTCAGGTGCCAATGAGTACCAATAGTACTATCACTCAGGTGCCAATGAGTACCAATAGTACTATCACTCAGGTGCCAATGAGTACCAATTGTACTATCACTCAGGTGCCAATGAGTACCAATAGTACTATCACTCAGGTGCCAATGAGTACCAATAGTACTCTCACTCAGGTGCCAATGAGTACCAATAGTACTATCACCCAGGTGCCAATGAGTACCAATAGTACTATCACCCAGGTGCCAATGAGTACCAATAGTACTATCACTCAGGTGCCAATGAGTACCAATAGTACTATCACTCAGGTGCCAATGAGTACCAATAGTACTATCACTCAGGTGCCAATGAGTACCAATAGTACTATCACTCAGGTGCAAATGAGTACCAATAGTACTATCCCTCAGGTGCCAATGAGTACCAATAGTACTATCACTCAGGTGCCAATGAGTACCAATAGTACTATCACTCAGGTGCCAATGAGTACCAATAGTACTATCACTCAGGTGCCAATGAGTACCAATAGTACTATCACTCAGGTGCCAATGAGTACCAATAGTACTATCACTCAGGTGCCAATGAGTACCAATAGTACTATCCCTCAGGTGCCAATGAGTACCAATAGTACTATCACTCAGGTGCCAATGAGTACCAATAGTACTATCACTCAGGTGCCAATGAGTACCAATAGTACTATCACTCAAGTGCCAATGAGTACCAATAGTACTATCACTCAGGTGCCAATGAGTACCAATAGTACTATCACTCAGGTGCCAATGAGTACCAATAGTACTATCACTCAGGTGCCAATGAGTACCAATAGTACTATCACTCAGGTGCCAATGAGTACCAATAGTACTATCACTCAGGTGCCAATGAGTACCAATAGTACTATCACTCAGGTGCCAATGAGTACCAATAGTACTATCACTCAGGTGCCAATGAGTACCAATAGTACTATCACTCAGGTGCCAATGAGTACCAATAGTACTATCACTCAGGTGCCAATGAGTACCAATAGTACTATCACTCAGGTGCCAATGAGTACCAATAGTACTATCACTCAGGTGCCAATGAGTACCAATAGTACTATCACTCAGGTGCCAATGAGTACCAATAGTACTATCCCTCAGGTGCCAATGAGTACCAATAGTACTATCACTCAGGTGCCAATGAGTACCAATAGTACTATCACTCAGGTGCCAATGAGTACCAATAGTACTCTCACTCAGGTGCCAATGAGTACCAATAGTACTATCACTCAGGTGCCAATGAGTACCAATAGTACTATCACTCAGGTGCCAATGAGTACCAATAGTACTATCACTCAGGTGCCAATGAGTACCAATAGTACTATCACTCAGGTGCCAATGAGTACCAATAGTACTATCACTCAAGTGCCAATGAGTACCAATAGTACTATCACTCAGGTGCCAATGAGTACCAATAGTACTATCAGTATTATCATCAAGTGCCAGATCACTGCGATTGTCAATAGATGTTTTTTAACTGCTCCTTCTCCAGTAACCTGTGATAACCTGACGACTGTAGTTCACATTGTTCCACTCATCATTCACCCCCTTTGACCTCTATCACCAGTGCATTCCATTTACTAACTACTCTGACCCTAAAAAAGTTCTTTCTAAAGGTCTCTGTGGCTCATTTGGGTACTCAACTTCCACCTGTGTCCCCTTGTTCGCGTAACACCCGTGTTAAATAATCCATTATTGTCTATCCTGTCAATTCCCCTGAGAATTTTGTATGTAGTGATCATGTCCCCCCGAGCTCTTGTGTCTTCCAGTGTCTTGAGGTGCATCTCACTCAGCCTTTCCTCGTAACTCATGCCTCTTAGTTCTGTGACTAGCCTAGTGGCATGCCTCTGAACTTTTTCCAGCTTCGTCTTGTGCTTGACAAGGTACGGACTCCATGCTGGGACCGCATACTCCAGGATTGGACTTACATATGTGGTGTACAAGGTTCTAAAGAATTCCTTATACAGGTTTCTAAAGGCAGTTCTAATGTTAACCAGCCTCGCATACGCCGCCGATGTTATTCTTTTGATGTGGGCTTTAGGAGAGAGGTTTAGCGTGATATCAAGACCACGCCAAACCAGTTTCACTAGGTACTTCAATTGACAGCCCTAGTGACCCTTAGTCTTAGTTTAAAACGAGAGAGGGGGAGAGAAAAAACACGAAGATTTGGTGTGCCCAGGTCGACCCGGTCACCGCCGGATATCCCACCTAGTACATGATACAAACTACTTCACGGGTACTTGGGTCCTTTGGCTACGTGTAAGTGTGTTCAAGATGTGCATTACAATTTTAAAAGCTAACTGAGATCAGTGACTGTCAGTGATGTGAGTACTGCGTCCACAGTGTTAGTGAGCCACTGTGGGACCCAATATGAGTGTGTGTAATACCCGCTCTTGTTAGCGCGATTCACAGATCAGTAAACATCTGGTCCTCTTGGTTAATGCTCATTAGTAAATCGATTAGAATAAGACATATATAGCAGCGGTTATTGAAGGGCTGCTCGAGCAGGCTATGTCTTGAGAGAATGTTGGTCAGTGATGTTTGGGAAGGAGTGTACATGTAGCTCACTATGTGTTGAACACGAGCTATGTTGGCGGTGGTGGTGGTACTCCTGTTGGTCAACACGACCCCAAGCTGCACCACCATCTGCCCGCGTGTGCACGACTGTGCTCGCCTCGGGCATGTTCTCGCACGGTCGAGCACTTATTTGTACCACTTATTTTTCGTCGTATTTTCTTTTGAAGTTGCTTACTGAATTCATCTAATTTCTTATTGCAGCCCGTTTCTTTTGCTTCACCTTTATGGTCAACTAGTTCTGCCTGACATGTTTGCATCTCATGTAATTATGGCTTCCACCCGCCGCCTCTAGTAGCACCATCTGTGTTACCATGACGTCTCTGGCTACTGCTGATTCGTCGTTCCTCCACCGCAGTGAGGAACGACCTCGCTCAACAGGTGGCTGTTGCCGAGGTCCCTCTGCCCCGGCGCCAGCCTCGTCCTCTATATCAATACAATTCTCGCGGTCATCTACCTTGTGTCTTGGTGTAGATGGCTGGCCAGAATTACGCACTATAACCTTGGTATTATATATTATACATTGCATAGTATTGTGAAGTCCTTCTTGTTGAGGCCACTCACGGCTATCTGAACTTTTGTCAATTAACCGGGTGAGAATAGCTTGAGCTACCTCATCCCTTTGTGTGTATTTTACCTCAATAAACTTATTTCAATTTCAATTTGTCAATTTTCCTTAAACTGCAGACATAAGGAAAATATTATTTCACATTTTTCTTAATTAATATTTATATATTTATAAATATATTAATATTAATAATTAATAATATTAATATATTATTATTATATTAATATAATTAATACTCAATGCATATACCATTATTATATTATTAATATGTTTGCTCCCAAATATTGATATTTTTCTAATGACAGAAGCAATCTCCCCATTGACAGGTAAAGTTCATGGGGTCATCAATATTATTCCTATCTTTATTTTGCATTTGTTAGGGTTAAAGTCTAGCAATCCCTTCAGCATCCTGGTTTTGACATCTCTCTTTGTTACCCTCTGTTTCCTAACAGGGAGGTACTCCCTCACCCATCCCAGCACTTCTCCCAGTACTCCAGCAGTGATGTTAAGTTTGTATGGGAGTATCACCTTCAGAAGGTGATACAGGATACAGATATAGGAGTATCACCTTCAGAAGGTGATACAGGATACAGATATAGGGGTACCACCTTCAGAAGGTGATACAGGATACAGATATAGGAGTATCACCTTCAGAAGGTGATACAGGATACAGATATAGGAGTATCACCTTCAGAAGGTGATACAGGATACAGATATAGGGGTACCACCTTCTGAAGGTGATACAGGATACAGATATAGGGGTATCACCTTCAGAAGGTGATACAGGATACAGATATAGGAGTATCACCTTCAGAAGGTGATACAGGATACAGATATAGGAATATCACCTTCAGAAGGTGATACAGGATACAGATATAGGGGTACCACCTTCAGAAGGTGATACAGGATACAGATATAGGGGTACCACCTTCAGAAGGTAATACAGGATACAGATATTGGAGTATCACCTTCAAAAGGTGATACAGGATACAGATATAGGAGTATCACCTTCAGAAGGTGATACAGGATACAGATATAGGAGTATCACCTTCAGAAGGTGATACAGGATACAGATATAGGAGTATCACCTTCAGAAGGTGATACAGGATACAGATATAGGGGTACCACCTTCGGAAGGTGATACAGGATACAGATATAGGGGTATCACCTTCAGAAGGTAATACAGGATACAGATATAGGAGTATCACCTTCTGAAGGTGATACAGGATACAGATATAGGAGTATCACCTTCAGAAGGTGATACAGGATACAGATATAGGGGTACCACCTTCAGAAGGTGATACAGGATACAGATATAGGGGTACCACCTTCAGAAGGTAATACAGGATACAGATACAGGAGTGTCACCTGAAGACAGGTGACACTCGAGAGGCTTTCAGACACTCGAGAGAGCAGGATTAAGCTTTCACCTTCCTGTTATGGTCATTGTCACTTCTCATAGAACTAATAGATTAGTTAGGATTTATCTAAATCCCCAGACATCTGGAGTTCATAATGAGTACAGCGTGTAGATACTTCACGAGTCTTCATATTACTTCTACAACATACCGTCCACAAGGTCTATCCGGTACACGGACGTCATCGTGCGGGTTCTCGTTCGATCCCCGATGGTCCACCTGGATAGGTACCTTTCCTCCACTCGCTCTTCCTATCCCAACTTCTTTTCTGACCTTAAATTCCTCCCAAGTGCTAATCTCAACCTGTTACCCAAACCTGACAACATTTATAGTTATTATTTGTTAAAAGTACAAAAAATGTACTATTTACTCTAGTTATTAACGTTGTGGAAGAGACGAGAAAGAAGGCAACAACCAAATCTAACTTTAAATAGGCCTAATATAGCCTATGTGTGTACTGAATTAGATTTACGATTGTTTATTTAGGAATGGTCCATGTTAGGCTGTAAATTTGTTGGTCCTATTTTTGGCTTGCCATTTACACCACTCAGATGGTACAAAACGTGAGTTTTGGGCCCAACAGTCCATTTTTGGACGTTCGAGAAATAGTTGATGTATGCACGATCATTTTCGTGGATGGGTTGTATGGTCATATTAATTTGGCGCGTTCTCAAAGCACCAAATATGAGTGCACCAGCTGAGACCCTCAAGGAATACACCAGCTGAGACCCTCAAGGAGTGCACCAGCTGAGACCCTCAAGGAGTGCACCAGCTGAGACCCTCAAGGAGTACACCAGCTGAGACCCTCAAGGAGTGCACCAGCTGAGACCCTCAAGGAGTACACCAGCTGAGACCCTCAAGGAGTGTACCAGCTGGCCAGGTGGCAGCAGTTCTCACCTTTAAGAGCCACCTGGATGACTATACAAGACAAAAGACAGTCACCTCCCTACCCCCAGCCTCCCCCATCCTTTGTGACCAGAACCACGAGTCCCCACAAGCACTTCCCCATCCACTTACGAAACCTTTACATCTTCCCTCAATCATAGCGACTTAAGTCTGTATTCACCAAAGTGTTTACGAACACGGAAGCGCTGCGAGGTCGGTCTCCTCGTCCCTACTGCTCATCGTATCCTAAACTATTAATAAAATACAAAGCGAAGTCGCCATGATTGAAGAGAGATGTTCAGGTTTGTTAAGAAGACAAATTAGTGGTTGATTAATTCTGGTCGAGGTCTTATTAGTGATGTATAAGCCCTGTATGATGTGTATAATATTCTGTCAATAACCTAATAGCGTTGCATACACTTGCCTACTGTATTGTCAGTTTATACAACTCAGTAAAGTGGAAACAGTATTTTAAACTGTATACACACCCTCCACTAGTGTTACTCCACACACACCCTCCACTGGTGTTACTCCACACACCCTCCACTCGTATTACTCCACACACACCCTCCACTAGTGTTACTCCACACACCCTCCACTCGTATTACTCCACACACACCCTCCACTAGTGTTACTCCACACACCCTCCACTAGTGTTACTCCACACACACCCTCCACTAGTGTTACTCCACACACACCCTCCACTAGTGTTACTCCACACACACCCTCCACTAGTGTTACTCCACACACCCTCCACTCGTATTACTCCACACACACCCTCCACTAGTGTTACTCCACACACCCTCCACTAGTGTTACTCCACACACACCCTCCACTAGTGTTACTCCACACACACCCTCCACTAGTGTTACTCCACACACACCCTCCACTAGTGTTACTCCACACACACCCTCCACTCGTATTACTCCACACACCCTCCACTCGTATTACTCCACACACCCTCCACTAGTGTTACTCCACACACCCTCCACTAGTATTACTCCACACACCCTCCCCAAGTGTTACTCCACACACCCTCCCCTAGTGTTACTCCACACACCCTCCACTAGTATTACTCCACACACCCTCCCCTAGTATTACTCCACACACCCTCCACTCGTATTACTCCACACACCCTCCACTAGTGTTACTCCACACACCCTCCACTCGTATTACTCCACACACCCTCCACTAGTGTTACTCCACACACCCTCCACTAGTGTTACTCCACACACACCCTCCACTAGTGTTACTCCACACACACCCTCCACTAGTGTTACTCCACACACACCCTCCACTAGTGTTACTCCACACATACCCTCCACTAGTGTTACTCCACACACCCTCCACTCGTATTACTCCACACACCCTCCACTAGTATTACTCCACACACCCTCCACTCGTATTACTCCACACACCCTCCCCTAGTGTTACTCCACACACCCTCCACTAGTATTACTCCACACACACCCTCCACTAGTGTTACTCCACACACCCTCCACTCGTATTACTCCACACACCCTCCACTAGTATTACTCCACACACCCTCCACTAGTATTACTCCACACACCCTCCCCTAGTGTTACTCCACACACCCTCCACTAGTATTACTCCACACACCCTCCCCTAGTATTACTCCACACACCCTCCACTCGTATTACTCCACACACCCTCCACTAGTGTTACTCCACACACCCTCCACTCGTATTACTCCACACACCCTCCACTAGTGTTACTCCACACACCCTCCACTAGTATTACTCCACACACCCTCCCCTAGTGTTACTCCACACACCCTCCCCTAGTATTACTCCACACACACCCTCCCCTAGTATTACTCCACACACCCTCCCCTAGTGTTACTCCACACACCCTCCCCTAGTGTTACGCCACACACCCTCCACTAGTGTTACTCCACACACCCTCCACTAGTGTTACTCCACACACCCTCCACTCGTATTACTCCACACACCCTCCCCTAGTGTTACTCCACATACCCTCCACTAGTGTTACTCCACACAACCCTCCACTCGTATTACTCCACACACCCTCCCCTAGTGTTACTCCACATACCCTCCACTAGTGTTACTCCACACACCCTCCACTCGTATTACTCCACACACCCTCCCCTAGTGTTACTCCACACACCCTCCCCTAGTGTTACTCCACACACCCTCCACTCGTATTACTCCACACACCCTCCCCTAGTGTTACTCCACACACCCTCCCCTAGTGTTACTCCACACACCCTCCCCTAGTGTTACTCCACACACCCTCCACTTGTATTACTCCACACACACCCTCCCCTAGTGTTACTCCACACACCCTCCCCTAGTATTACTCCACACACACCCTCCCCTAGTGTTACTCCACACACCCTCCACTAGTATTACTCCACACACACCCTCCCCTAGTGTTACTCCACACACCCTCCACTAGTATTACTCCACACACACCCTCCCCTAGTGTTACTCCACACACCCTCCCCTAGTAATACTCCACACATACCCTCCCCTAGTGTTACTCCACACACCCTCCACTAGTATTACTCCACACACCCTCCACTCGTATTACTCCACACACCCTCCCCTAGTATTACTCCACACACCCTTCACTAGTGTTACTCCACACACCC